ATTAGACTGCGTTCATACCTTTACGACGACTCGATCTATCGACGTAACAGCGACAACCTTCCGAAACTGGATACGTATCAATCCGACGTAATCGACTATCATAAAGGAGAGTAGGTATCGACTGACGTTGAAAACGTTAGTTACGGTTACGTCGTTACGTCGGATCATTACGTATTTCAACTTCGCAAACTAGTCGTCGAAAACGTCGGCTACGTCGGTTACGTCGACGTAAGGTATGAAAGCAGCCTAAGTAGTGGACAAATGAACGGCTTCAAACTGGAATACACTGCCTCTTTTCTTCAGATTTCTTCAGGGTTGAGCCTAGGTCGTTTGAATACCAGTGTGAAGGTGACGGGAACAGAACGAGTTGGAAAAGATTTCGATGGGAAGCATCAGCAGAAACGAAGTTGATATATAAATTCAGAGGCAAGAAGTGCGACTTTATATTTCTGCTCCGCCTCCTCTGGAGTCTACTCAAGACAAAGGAGCTCGACGGTAATAGTGATAAAGCGGGCGTCGTTGACGATATTTCCTCCTTCACGGTGAAATCATCACAGTGAATTTGAAAGATGTCCATTTAAGAGCGTGGAACATCCCTCATGGTACTGCTCCCTGTCCCTGCAAAGTGAGTTCTTTGCGAACATTTCGCTCACCTGTTCGTTTCCATACTTCAGATCCGTACAAGTGACTGCAAGTGTGTGATAATATATCAGCATATACCATGGCAGTTGATGGGTGTAAGTAATTCGTAGTGGTGCTCCATCATTTTTGAGAATAGAGACCAGAACTCCACACTGCTGGTCTGTTCCTCCAATGAACGACGATAAACTGAAAATGAGAAGATTTGGTGGTGATGTCCAGCATGCGGTGGAGTTCTCACCTCAGCGTGTTCTGCTCTTTAGTCGAGGTGGGGCTAAACTGGCCTTCGTAGGAAGCCGATACTGTGAAAGATGAGTCAGAATTGTTGTTCTTGAGATCATACACACCATATAAATCATTGGCGATTTTCGTTGGTGGAGGCTCGAGATGAATACCCTAAACGAGGAAGAGTAATTGGACAGGAATTATCAGTGGAAAGGCGCTCAGCTGAGGGTTGTGGCCCGTTAACCACAGATTTAGCCACTAGCCAGTATCCACAATAGAGGTTATTTCAGTGACTACGGACCATTCTTGCTCATGGTCCCTCAGTGCCTCTTCGGACTGTTAGCTTGGCTTCATCCCTCCCAGTATAGTGGAACTCATCGGACTCGGACTGCACCTCATAGAAACAACTCAGCTCGAAACAAAGCGACGAAGAGACACAGACGCCAATGGTCACAGGTTCAGTTTCTAGCCCCCGAAGACTTAGTTTTTCGTTGTTTCTTCATTATTAAGAGAACACCACACTAAAAAGCCACCAACAGCGAGTTACAACAAGGAAGCCACAGCATCCGACATGAGAAAATCCTTCGGGGTAGAAGTCAAGGGCGTGGCGCAGTCTCGGTCTGGCAACATTATTACTCGAACATTTCCGTCTACTTCAAATTTGCACCCATTTCAATCCGACTTCAGGTTAATGTGCTCGTATTACTGGAGAGCTGCACCCAGCTTTGAACTTTTGGGATACTGTGAGACCTTTCCGAAGTCTGAACTCCGTGCAAAAAATTTTAGGAATGTCAAGGGTGCGACTTATCCATTTCTCAGCTGTAGGTCAAAAGCTGTTGCCGCAATCAGGCAGCTTTGTTCTCAGGCACTCCAGACTGCTAGATAAGGTACGCTAGATGACGTAACTGTGCTCAAAATAAAACCAACCTTATCCAATTCTACTATGACTTCACTGCTTGAAGCGACAGCACAAGTTCCGGTAGCTTTCCGGTTGAACAGCTCCAAGATGCTCCAATCTGCAATTTTCAACAGTAGTGTGAATAGATACCATAGATCACTAGAGTTGCTCTGAGGTTTTGGAGAGCCATTACGACTTATTTTACATAAAGTAAACCCAACTGAGGGGACTACCTGTTCATGCTCACAAAAAAAAACAAGCGATAGCAGCAACAATAAAACAATGTCAATGTGTGCGTAAGTATTTGTTACTACCAGTTCTATCAGTTGCATGGCATCGTCGAGAAAATTTTTTTAAAACAAAGAAACTGTGAGAAACCTAGTCCAGACCAACCTAGTTTCCCATTTTTCACTGGGACATCGAGGACGTTGTACATGACTAGGTCAAGTCGGTAGCTCATCAAGGAACCCTAAAAAGGAACTATTGAGCTGCAGACCTCTTCTTAATCCGCATTTTACTTCAAAACTGATAGTTTTGTGTGGCTTCAGTCAATTATCTAATTGACCACTACCTTACTAATTGACCCTTCATCTTGATCCTTCTTTTCTTGCGAGCTTTATCACCGCAAGCGACACCAATGTGTCGGACGCCTCAAAAAGGCACAACGTTACCCTTCAGAAAGCGTACGTCATCTTAGGTTTCCTTCGCTCAAAATATTCGCGCATGTCGAAGGCAGTCATAGAGATCTATTAGAGATAGCCGATCATTTAGAACTTTTCTCTTCAAATCATAACAGAGGGGTTTTATATTCTGAAAACGCCAGTTCCAGATATGACGAAGTCGTTTCGCGAACTACCTGACGCTGGCTTTATAATAGCTCCAAAGCCACTTGCATGATAAACAGATTGAATAAAGCTTCAGATGGATCTCAGATGTGACTAGACCGTCTGATCAGCCAAAGTCACAATAGTATGATTACAAACGTAAGCATGATCATATAAAATCTGGTTTGGTCAGAAGTAAAGCCATTGAAGGGAAACTGCACAAACCGTGCTTAGCAGGCAACAGTTTTTCTATCCATGGGGTCACTAATTCTCCAAGATGCACCACAGTTCTTTTCTCAACGCACTTAAAACAAGGTGCTCCTCTCGCCCAGTGTCAAAGCCTAACTTTCTGAATGCTAAAGCTGGCGAAGAGGTTAGTTCAGGCACAACACTCGTCATTGCTGTACATAGGAGGCCGTTGAGAGAGTTGATCAGCGTTCGCCATTTACCGTCGACCCTACAAATACCGCACTAGCTTTCTGCTCCCTTGAGATACCTCTTATCTGAGTTCGCACACGGACGACAGGGGCGGCCAGGCAGGATGAGTTTAGCGGCGGTGCCAAATACGCCGTTCTCGCCACAAGTTTGAGCGAGAAAGCGCAAGACCTCATCCAAACGGGGGTATCGCTCACTTTTGCCAATTGTCTGTCGCATACCGGGACCGCTTCAAAAACTGCCAGGGATAGCAAGGTTTGGCGCCATGGACCTGGCACGCCCTTTCATCCGCAGCGAACTAAAGTTTACCTACTCTGTTTCGTTTCCGTAAATCCACGCATGGACACTGGCTCCAGTTGGTCCGTTTGGCTGCGGCGGTAGACCCCATCGAGAGCCATGCCATCGGCCGCTTCGTGTCAACATAAAAGGATAGCTCCCGATACGGGAATGGGAGGATATGAGTTCAGCTATTATTCGAGGGAACAGTGAATAGTTTGGACCTGAACATGTCCAAACATATTTTATTATAAGCTTTCCTAAGGTCAAAGAGAGCATGTCCATACGAATCGGAAAAATGCATGACGATAGTTGGTAACGGTCTCCGCCCATTAAGCGATTACAGAAGCTCAAGCCCACCAAGGCTACCAGAGAACTTTGGTGAGGTCCTTGGCGTGAAAGGCCGAAGCTCCAGAGAAATATAGGACTGCGCGTTTACGGCAATGGAGGGCCGGATAATTATTGAACTCTTTACCGATGCGTCAAATTTGAATGTTCAAGGTCCTCAGTATTCAATGAAGCCATGCAGACGTGAAAGCGCAAAGAAAACAGAAAATTGACGGTTTTGCGCGTTGGCCGAACGGCGGATTCGCCAGATCACTACGCATGTTCGGTTCTGCGCGTCTCCTACCAAACTGTGGACTCTCCATATTCAGACTATGAACGAGGTCTGATAGTCATAATCGACAAGCCACTCACCCAGTTGCAAACCATCAGATGTAATAGAGAAAAGAAACGGAAAGCAGTCATGAGATTACCGCTAGGTAACCTTGAAATCCTTCAGCTCTTCTCTATAGGAATCTCCGCAGGCATGACCCAGCAGAAGGAAAAAGAGAAGTAAGCACATCAACATCGTGCCTAGGCTGTAACGGATAGATAATTCCAAAACGATGGAAAGAAAGCAAAAGTCCTAAACTGCAGGTAGGCAGGATCTAGAATGCTGGCTCGATTTTTAAGCAGTCCAACTTCACAAGGAATGAAGGAATCTAATCGATAGTCCAAATATGGCTTCAATAAGGCTGACAGAGAATACTTCCGAGCAAATAAAGAATTTATCCGTTAAGGCTACTTGCTGAGCTAACACATAAAACTGAACCCAACAGAGAATATTCACATAAAACGAGGAGCCGTATAAGTAGAAGTATAAGTAAGGAAGGAATATGTGAACATAACAAAGTCTAGAGATCACTTTTACACCTATGAATGTCACACGTTGAAAAGATATGTACATGAATTCATTATTTCAAACGGACCATTCGTAGGAAATGCACTACTATTGAATTCTCTTCATGGAAAATCCACATGACGCTTCCACTTTCAAGATGAAAGGACCTTCTTGGCCGGCCTTAAAAGGAGCGTATTAGACTGTAGAAGATCAGCCATTCTTTTTGTGCTTTTTTGGCGGGGGGGGGGGGTCCTCGTTAACATCTGTGAGGAATACCAAAGAACAGCTTTCATATCGAGGGACACAGCAAGAGGCGTGGCTGTGCATTCTATGCTGACTCTCTCCTCTTATATATGCATCTCTAGCTCTCCTTTGTTCGGACTCTAGTCGTTCTCACAACCACGTCTCTTGATATCCTCATAAAACGACTGCACAAACCTCGAACGTCATTGGACGGATCGTGTAAACTCCAGCCGGAACTTTATCCAGTGCTAGCACAGTATAACCAGGCCTGGAAATAATCCATGTTATCAAATAAGGGTTGCAACACTCTGCAGATAAATGAAAGACAGGCATGACACATCTCTGGTTCCGATTCTGAAACCTTAGAGCCAGCAACGAAAAATAGTCTCCTCCGACTACGCACGGCTCACCTCATAACATTAAACTGTTAAAAGCACTCCATAGAGTTTTATATGGGTCTTACTTGTGAACCCCCTCTACTCAATCACGATTCAATCTTCCTAACTGTGCTGGGTATCATTATTCACAGGTATATCGTTTCAGTTTCTCTGACTTCAGAATTAGTGGCATTAGTTCAGTACGAGTCCGCAATCTAGTAGGTGACATGTTAGGACAGCCACGGTCCTTTCATGGCATGGAATGGACGAGCAAGCGCCTTGGAACATACACCATTCCACGCTTTTCTCCCATTTCTTATGCTGGACGGCATCTAGTACTGTGTATGGGGCTAAAGCTGGAATAACCTTTGCCAAGGGAAAAGAACCCAGCACGCGTGAATCTGTGAAACTGGTGCGAAAAAAATTCTCGCACGTTATGAAAAATGGTTCACATCCAGGGTGTCCTTGTTCTTGCGAAGTGTAAAGTGAATGGATCCGCAGATGCAGTTGAGAGCACTCCAAAAAGCTTGGGAAGAGGGTTGGAGGATAGTGATACGCGGGTGCCGACTCGTGCTGCCGCAATGCCAGCCACACGTACAACCATAGCCAAAAGCGCTACTTGTCAGCAAACCCGGCTACTTGTCAGCAAACCCGAGTATCACTACCTTCTGACCCCGTCCCTGTGCACTTTCGAGCGGAGGATGTGGCACGCTACTGCAGCTGCGGGTCCATTCATCTTTCGCAGCAGGAACCTCTTCGGCGGCGAGTGCGCACTTTGTCTCCAACATTGCCTTATTCGAATGCGGACTTATATTGGAACGCCGAACTGCGGGTCCAGTACAAGGATATTCTCATCATTTCCAGAACCTTACTTTTTAAAGTATAATCTCAAACTATGTTGGGAATAGAAAGCATAGGGAATAGAAAGCATAGCTAACACGCTTAAACATATACAAAGAGATGAAGTGGTACCTGAATACATCAGTGTTCTTCTTTTCGAGCGGTTTATTCCTTGGAGATGAGACTTGCCGTACTTCAAAACCCACGCTGTATTGCT